GTCTGATAATTACACTTGAACATTTCAATTTTCCATAAAATGAACATTTGCAAAACTGACTCATTTCCTCTCTTACAATACCAGGTCTCTTTTGGACCTTCTCATGTCTGAGTTTCGTAGTATCATTCTCAAGGCTTTTTCTTAAAGAAGGCAATATCCAAACTACTTTTGGTTCTTGATTTTTTTTTTCCCTTGATTTTTAGACTTCTGTGAGGTAAATAAAACAACATATGGAATGGAAAAAATATGTGATACTTGGAACACACTAGGCAGTCAACAAATGACAGGTCACCGTTTCTCCATCTGTCCTCCCTGACCTAGGCCACAGAACCATCCATGTTTCCCTTACTGCATCCTTCTCTCCATGCTGTACACATTGCCATGGGCATTCTCTAAAATGTACCCACCCACAAACCTTATGTCTGGTCCACTGTAGTGGGTTGACTGTGGTCCTCAAAACAGTGTATCCAAACCTAACACCTAGACCTGTGAATGTGACCTTACTTGAAAAAGGGTCTTTGCAGATGTAATTAATTTAAGGATCTTGAGATGAGATCATCCTGGATTTTGAGTGGGCCACAGATTCAATGACAAGTGTACTTACAAGAAAAGGGAAAGATGCAGAGCCATAGAGAGGGGGAAGACGGGTGGAGATGGATGTGGACATTAGAGGGATGCCTCTCCAAACCAAGGAATGCCAAGGATAGTCCAGAGCCATCCAAAGCTAGGAGACGGGTATGGAAGGGATTCACCTTCAGAGGCTGTAGAAGGAGTTAACTTTGCTAACACTTTGAATTTGGACTTCCAGAAATGTGAGAATATAAATTTATGTGATTTTTAAGCCTGCAAGTTTGTGGAAATGTGTTATGGCAGCCCTGGGACACCTCTGTACCTCCTTTGCCTGGCCTTTAAGGTCCCTTCTGATCTGGGTATAATTTTCCTGGGGTTCTCTTTTACTCTCCTTTACAACTATCCCTCTTCTGCATATTGACAGTCCCCTCATTATCCAGTGATTATTTGTGCATTTTGTCTTTTCTAATGTGATCCTTTTCCCCTCGCTTAATTTCACTATGTTTTTCTCTACTTGTTGAAATCCTAATCATGAACTGAAAGGCCACCCAAGTCCATGGTGATTTCCTTCCTATTCTGAACTCTTCTGATACACATTTGGCGTTGAATCATGTTTTGAATCATGTTTTGTCCAAACAGCACTTGTTTTGCTTTTTCAAATATAAGTGTATCTCCTTGAGGGCAGGAGGTTTTTTGCTTAGAAAATGCTGAATAAGTGAATGAAGTCAGAAAGTACTGATAGAGAATGGTATTATGGGCTGAACTGTGTCTCCCAAAACATATATGTTGAAGTCCTCACCTCGAGTATCTCAGAATGTGACTGTGTTTGGAGAAAGGGCCTTAATATGGAGGTTAAATGAGGTCACATGTGTGGGCTCTGATGCAATCTGACTGACATCCTTTAAGAAGAGGAAATCTGGACACACAGAGACACCAGAAGCTGCAAGTGCACAGGCTAATGACCATGTGAAGAGACAGTAAGAGGGCAGCCAGCTTCAAGGCAAGGAGAGCAGCCTTGAGTAATACTTCCCCATGGCCCTCAGAGGAAACCAGTCCTGCCAGCATCTTGATCTTGGACTGTCAACCTCTAGAACGATAAGAAAATAAAATTCTGTTGTTTAAGCCTCCTAGTCTGTGGTACTTTGTTATGGCAGCTGTAGCACACTAATACAGCAGGTAAAAATTTAAGACTAAAAGTTAAAAAAAAACAAAACACAATTCCTGAAAGGGGGAGTAGAAAGAGAAACATATTTTCTACCTGAATACATGACACTCTTCTCTCAAGTGCCAGTAATATTCCTGAAATGACAGACTATCTGACAGAGCCCTTTGTAGAGCTCAGAAATGTCTGTGTTTATTATGAAAACAATTTCACTTTAGTATGAAGTTCAAAAAGAGCTGAGACTAGAACTGGGACCCGGCCTCCACCACTCTTCAGCATTCTGTCTTCTAGAATGATGTTATTGACCTGTAGTCAAGAAGTCACCTGAGAGTCTCACGAGTTAATCTGCTAATCTCAATGTGTAAAAAATTCAATCATGGGACTTAAGCTTAGGCATTTTCTGGGATTGGTTCCAAAGGTTTATAGGTTAGCAGATCCACTGAATAGTTGCTGGTGATTATCAGGACAATACTCATTATTTTATTTATGCTTATTTTATATATACTTTTTGTGCTGTTCTCTTCTTTATTCCTTAATTATTACATGACCTCCATTGCTTTAGAGGAAAAAAATGTGTTAGAATTGATTCTGCAATAGCCAACTAACTTCGGAATCTTGAGCTCCCTTCTGAGAAGTAATTCTTACAGGCTCATTGACTGAATGTAGTATGTCCAGAGGGAGGCCTCAAAAATGGTGAGGCACCTGAGAGGGTGGTTGAAGTATCTGCTCAGAAAAACCGGAGGCCTCACCACTGGATGAGGTTTTCAGCTTGTCCTCGATGGCTCTTGAGCTAAGTAAGGGCTGGGCCCAATAGGTAGAATGCTGATTTCATTTCAACACAAAAACTTCCATAGTCTGATCCCCTAAGGACTGGAAGTAATGAGGTGTACAGGCCCATTGAAAGGTGATGTAGCTTAGCGCTTAAGCGGGTTTTAGAGTCCTAGCTTTACCTCGTATTAGCTGTCTGATCTAGTCTAGGTACTTAATTCACTTAGCTTTAGTAATCCCCATCAAAATGGGGCTAATGATTGTACCTGCCTCTTCTTGAAGTAAAACAGTGTATGCAAACTGCTGAGGAAATTAATGCCAAGAGGGGTGGTTTAACATATTTATTCACAAATTTCATCCATGCCTGTGCCTACTTTTGAGCTCTAGGCCCTGTCTGACTTCATTATGCAAGTTGTTTCTAGGGTTCCTTCCAAAACATTTAAGGAAAAGGACCACATAATTGGGAGGGTGAAGAGGAGTGTATTGAAAGGGAAAGGAGTTGGCCCTTTTCTGTGGCCAACTATGTTGCCCTGCGTCTAGCCACAGCGTTGGGAGGTGATCTTACCAATGAAGTCATGAGTCTATTTAAACAATGAGAAGCAATTCCTTCTTCCTTGCCCTCAATCCTCAACCCTCTGCCTCCTCCCTTCATCACTCTCCAGCCTCTAGCAGGCCATGGAGAGCCACCCTAATCCACAACTGGAATGCCTCCAGTGGATCCATTTCTTAACCAGTCTCTGTCCTTTTCTCACTTAAACACATCGAAGGCCATTTTTGAAAGCTGGCTCTGATGGGGTTCATTACAGCATTTAAAAAAATATTAAACTCAGAACCTATTTCTGTTTTTTAATCATAAAATATGAACTTAAGATGCAAACAGAGGAGGAAAAGGGGAAGTAAGGCTGGATTGGATCTTCATGATGTATCTTTTCAGAAAGACCTGTGGGGATGTTTTATAACCATTATCCCCTAGGTATCAGTCCATCTGAGATGGGTGTACCATGAATTTTGTTAAAACACATTAAGCATCTATTATGCTCAGTGATCCTGATAATTTATATGATGATAAGCTTTCTGGTTGACACCTATTAACTAGGCTTGTGTCTAGGAGGAACCAGAAAGAGTATGAGCTGTTTAATTGGGGATGTTTGTCATCATTGATGAACAAGAAATAGTTTGAAAAGTTCTTTGAGATATGTATTTGAAAATGTCACCAAAATCTTAGAGAAGTAATCTCTGAACTAAAGTTACTATGTATTAAGAAAGGCTCCAAATGGCTTTACATACATTTTAGTATATGGTCCTCACAACAGGTTGGCATTATTATTCCTATTGTACAGATTAGAAAATGAGGTGAAGAGAGGTTCATTAACATTCTCAAGATCACACAGTATTATATATGTAGAAATTGTGTTTATACACTTTTTTTTAAGTCATATTATCCTCAGTCCAAATTGTGAAAGACCACAGAAGGAACTGAAGTAGACTACATGATGTCTCTTCTCATAACAGATGAGTTTACTTTTATTCTTCCTGCCTAAACTGTAAAATATCATTTTGGGCACCACTAACATTACACAGACTTGTTGTTCAAATGTGCTCTTCTTTCTTAGTAAAATTAGAAAAAGTCCCAGTTTTCAAACAGGTGTATATGCATTAAGGAAAAATTCAACCATGTGATTTTGGATATGGATGCTAATTCCTGAACACTAGTTATTTTTTCTCCACTCAAGTGCTCAGAACATTTTAAATGCTGTGTATTCATGTGGATTCCTCAGGGACATTGGAGCATATATAAGATACGTTGTTTGTGCCTATCTGAGCTTCTATGTGTATATTTTAGCTTATGTGACTACTCAGAATAGTATATATATGGCATATGATGTTTACATATTATTTCATATTTTTGAGAGAACTTAACCCTCAGAATTATTAACTACATAAAATCTAAATAGCAGATATAACTTGTATAAGTCAGACTGCTTATTCAGAATAGCTGTACTTTGCTTTTATGACATCGGGAAAAGAAAAGAGTTAATAAAGAAATACAAGCACTCCTCAATTCCTTCTTCCCTAAAACATATTCCATCCAATCTCCTGAACTGGCTGGAATATACTTCTCTACCCCCACCCCTCCACCCTCTCAATGCAGTGGGAAAGCCGGTGGGTAATTGGGTCCAGATTGGAGATGTTTAAATATTCATGAGGCTGGCAGGGGACTGGGAGGGGGGTGACAGTCTGGGATGGGGGTGGGGGTGGGGGGAAGTGATTAGTCACTGAAGCTAGTGAACAATTCTGAGAAAGAGACCGAAAGACAGGGAAGAAAAAGACAGATAGAGAGTGGGTGGTGGAGGGAGAGAAAAGAGGGGAAGAGAGGCAAGAGGAGAGAGAGAGCCAGAGAGAGCGAGCGAGCATGTGCGGTGAGCAATAGCTGTGGACCTTACAGTTGCTGCTAACTGCCCTGGTGTGTGTGAGGGAGAGAGGGAGGGAGGGAGGGAGGGAGCGCGCTAGCGCGAGAAAGCGAGTGAGCAAGCGAGCAGAAAAGAGGTGGAGAGGGGGGAATAAGAAAGAGAGGAGGAAAGGAGAGAAGGCAGGAAGAAGGCGAGGGACGGTACGACCATGCTGTGCTGCATGAGAAGAACCAAACAGGTAGAGCTAAAGATTTTTACTTCTTGCTGTTGTGAAATTACCAGAGTACAGTCTTTCCCTGTAAAGGCAGAAAAAATATTTTAACTGCTTCTGCTCTGGCCTTGGTGCTCGCGTTTCCTTAGCATATGGTAACTGATGGGTGCATCCCAGCTTGCATTCTCTGCTTTCTCGCTCTGGTTTTGGAATGCTGCTACCAGTTAGGATGAGGTTAGGGAAAAAAAATACTTCTGTTTGGCTAGAAATAAGATTTTTTTTAATGGCAATTAGTAAATGTTCAGGGATTTCGGTCTCTGGTTTTGCGGGTGTGGATACGGAAAGAGGTGTGGGGGGAAAAGATGTGGGTTCTACCTACAAGATGGGGAGGCAATCCTTTATATCATTTACCAAAAAAACTGGGTTGAAGGAATAGTATTCAGTAGTGAGTGTCGCTTGTTCCGTGGTACAATTTTCTCACATGTGCTGCGGAAGAAGCCTTATTTTGTACATGCATGAGCTCCAAATGGGCGCAGGTATTAATGGGAAAACATGTGAAGGTTTTATTTATTTATTTTCCAATGAATGAATGAAACTGTGGTTGATATTTTTTTTGAAAAAGAGAATCGAAGATAACCGGGGCAGGGGGAGGAACTGCCGGGTGGAAGGGGAAAATCCCCTTCCCCAGCTTTGCGACCGATTGTGCACCAGCTGGTCGGAGGAGAGGGCGGACCACGCCCCTAGGAGCTTTGGGCTCAGACGGGATGGGAAAGACGGGCGGAGTATTACCTGTTGGAAATCAGGTCTTTCTCCTCTCCCCTTCCCTCGTATCTTTCCTGGGGTTGTCAGTGACCAGAGACGGGCTAACGTTTGGGATGATAAGCATGGTGACTCATTTCTATCAGGAAGAGGGACACTTACAAGATAAGCAAGAAACCAAGGCCCGCTCCTGCCTCCCTCCCCCACTGTCCAGGTTTTTCTTCCATTTCAAATTGCTCACTTATTCCTTGAAAGATATTTTAGAAACTTGATGGGGATGCGGGTCGGGAGGAAGGACGAGAACGGTATTCTGCTGGGACAGGCAGCACTGTGGCATTCTCCAGTGGAGCTTTCAAGCATTTATTGAAACACGTTTGACTGATTTTGGCGAAGGTTAAGGAGAAAAATGGGTGTGGGATATGGGTGGGTGTATGTGTGTGTATGCGCGCGCGCGCGAGTGTGTGTGCGCGCGCCGCGCCGGTGGGAGGGGAGGGAGTCTTGGTCAGAAAAACCCTTTGCAGATTGATTGCTTTAGGGGTGGGTGCAAGAGATAGGATTTGGGCATGCAGGTATTGGATATGGGGCAATTTGTAATACACTCGCTGAATCCGAAGTGGGTGGCGGGGAGGAGAGAAGAAACAGCTTGCCAGCTTTGCACATTTAGCCAGCGCCCTGGAAGGAAGGGTGGGGAGTGAGGTGAAGGAGAAGGAGAAGGGGAAGGGAGACAGAAACAGAATATCAGAGCAGTGGGTGCGGAGGTTGGAGCGGTGTGGCAAAGATAAATAAATAAATAAAGTAGCAGGCACCTAGGGTTTTTAAAATAAATAAGTCAATAGAGAAATACCAAAGTAGCAGACACGGGGTGGGGTAGGGGATGGATTGCCTGTGGGTTGTGTAGAGATGTTTGGGGAAGAGCTCAAAAGTCTTACATGCAGCACTTCCCTACACTGCTCTACGGATGCAGAGGTTTGCTCAATTGCCTCATTTTCCAAACCAGGACATTCCGTTTCCTTGTCTCCATTCTGATACATAAACGCAATATATACAGGTGGCTGGGTGAAACACTGTCAAGGAAACGTTCTGAGGGTACCCCACTGCTGAGCTGAAGAAATAAAATCTAGGAGTCAGAGTCTTAAGGAAGCCAATGATAGTCATTTAAAAAAGGCTTAAATTGTTGAACAGAAAAATATGCTGCTTTACAACTTTTGCCACCCTATGTGTACACACACAAGGAAATACACGGCTACTTCCACAAAGGAATTCAAGCACGATTTTTAGAAAGGAAATTGATGCTAAAGGAATTCCCTTCCCCAAAAGAGGCCAGCTGCCTTTACATGGCTTCTATTTCCCTGACAGCCCAAGGTTCACTCGGAAGTGCAAAGTGATGAAGCTGAAATTGTGTGTTTGGAGAGTTGTAGAAATCTGCATGAAAATGTGTAGAGCATCCACATGCTTCATGTACTCTGTATGGTTTCCACATGCCTCCATGTGTTTTAGCATAATTCATATTCAAGAGAGAAAATGAAAGGTATAGAGATTGTCCTATTTTGCCCATATATTTTATATATGTATGTACTTCTGGGTGAAAGGGTCATGTTTTCTATTGACCCTGGTTGGGTATCATTCACATAAGTCAGTATTTGGGATACCATTAAATCAGACTAAAGGAAATGGTGTATTCTGGGCGTGGGCTCCACACCACAGACTAGTATCTATATAGCGTGAGTATTTAAGTCTCACACAGGTTTCTCACTTGTGGGTGAAATGATCTTGTATCATTTATGGCAGACTGACTGTGTTTATCCTTCTGCCATCTACTCATCATCCTAGTCCTTTAACAGGGAATAAAACAAGGGCAAAAACCTGCAAAGGTCTAAACTCTGCCACACCCATAAAATCCAGCAGAAATGTGGGAGGGGGGATGGAGGGATTGCACTTCCTTCCTCTTCCACTTGAGCTGCATAAAGAAGCAATCTTACATTTCTGAGTTGTAATACATTGTGAGTGGGTGAGAAGAAAGCATAAATGGTCTTTATTAACCATTAATTACCACTAGAGATCATTATAGCAGGAAGAAGAGAATGGGAGCAGGGGGAGATGAGAACATGGTAAAGGAGTGGGCAAAGGAGGAATAAAATCAAAGAACCCCTGAGATTTTATGAGCTTATGATTTCAAATATCCTGGGGCTAACTTTAAATAGCATAATTACCATGTGTGTTGCAGATGATGAAAAACTTGCACGATGTGATCTGGGTCCACAGAGCAAGAAAACTATGAGGTGTTTCCTTTGTTTGAAAAAAAATGACTTTAATTTGTAATTGAAGTGTAAAGAATACCAGTACAAGCAAGTAGCCCCTCTACTCCTACCCTTCAACCCCACCAACATCTGCCTTTTCCCTTATACAACAAATGATTCTGATCTTAGAGACTGTGATCTGTGGTTTAGAATTGCAGCCTCCCTATGCCTCCCCCTTGCAGTGTTGGAAAGGTGTGGAAGGATGCTGCTTGCTGCTTGGTGCAGACTATTCTTCCTAGTGATAAATTGGATTCCTCCTAAATCTCACTGAGCCACACCCAATGTCACCCAGAGACTAAGTGAATTAATTAAATGGAGGCATGCTACTTAATATAATTGAAACTCTTCATTTTTTAAAAAATGGTGATCTCTACCATGCATTTCCAAATTTAAACAGAAGAAGAAATCATTTAAAAGGCTCTTTTTTTTTTCTGCCAAATTATCTAGACTTGCAGAGAACCTTAGAAAATTCATGGTGAATCTAAAAATGTGTTCTTATCTGGTGACTGTAATTCCTTCTACCCCGTATCAGGTTGCATGGACAATGAACCCGGCTTTCTCATGCTGTCGGTCTGCAACTCCTGGCCCTCCACTCCCTAACCATGCTGAGGCAACTGGGATATGAAAATATAGGGTTAATTTTCTCTCTTGCTGAGCTAGCAAAACTACCGAATCCTTCTTTCATGCTTTATGTTAAAAGGCAGTGGTCCTGTTCACTGTGTGGGAGAGTGGCTTAGGGTCTCCTTTGCCTCCACAGCGAAATTGTCAGTGTTATGCCTGGGGTGGATGGCTCCACATACTTCAGTTTTGCCTGGCCCCATGAAGATGGGGGAGGCGTTCTTTTAGGCAATGGTAGAGCATATGTATTAACCAGATGTCCCCTCATACTGATAAAGTAAGGCAAGTACAAAATCTTCCTCTAATATTATAGGAACATTTCAAAGGTTGTGCATCCAGGTTATCTTGAGAGAAGATACAACTTTTAACCACTCACTTCCCTATTTAGTGTCATAGAGACATCATTCAGGCATGCAAGCATGTCTTGTCAATCAAAGAAGAAACTGTGAGCAGAGATTCCCCCTCCTGAATTTCTGGAGTATGGTCAGATTGCCTCTGCACCATTGTGTTTGTTCACACAGTCTTCATCATCTTCCAAGATGCTGGGAAGAGCACTGTGCTGAGAGTCCTTAGTTGATGCCACTTACCGATTCTGTGATCTTGAATGACTCATATGATCTAGGGCTTCAGTTTCCTCCTGTAGATTAAAAAATAAAAATCAAAACCAAGCAAAACCCCACTCTACTTGCCTTCAAGGATTTTGTAAGGATTAAACAAAATCGATGTGAAACCAAACAGCAGTACAAGTGTAAGAAAACTTTCCTTCCAAGTTTTGAAATGTGAAGCATGGCTTAGAATTACGAGTTCCTCAAGAACTCCAGGCTGCCTTTTTCCCTTAGAGAGTGGTTCCTTCTGGTCCTAGTTGAATCCTCCTCTTCATCACCCTCATTCACTATTCCATTTACTTTAATAAAGCTTCTGTTCCCGTAATTCCATTGAAATATGTTCTGAAAAAGACACCACATCCAGCGACTCCTGTTTACGTCTTATTTGCTGCCTCTTTGGCATTTTGTATTGTTGTCCATCCACCTTCCCGAAGCTCCTCGCTGGGCGCCCTGACGGCTCTCCGCCCCCCTCACAGATAGGTCCTTCTCAGGCTTCTCTCGCTCTCTTCCCCCCAAATATACATATCTCCTGGTGGATGATCTGGATCCATTTCTCTTCTCATTCTACATGCTAATTCTAAGTGACCTCATCCATGTCCGGAGTTTCAACCATCAGTGGGTGTGATTTCCAAATCTACACTGAGCCACACCCAATGTCACCCAGAGACTAAGTGAATTAATTAAATGGAGGCATGCTACTTAATATAATTGAAACTCTTCATTTTTTAAAAAATGGTGATCTCTACCA